AAAGATTTTAAAAATCATAGTATAAAAAAGAATTGGTAATAAAACGTGTGCCCTGCCTCACAACCTCTTATAGCACACAGGGACTTTGGGAAGCAAAGCAGCTCCTCCCCTCAGGCTGGCCTCAGTCAGGAGCCGGCTCAGGATTGACCATGATCAGAAGACATTTGCCCGCCTCCTTCATGACTTTCCTCCCTGTGTGCCCCCATTTACCTTGCCAGAATAGATAGCCCCAAGTACAAGGAAATGTTCCTTGTCCTCTGTTTATTGTAGTCCTAGCAAGCTTGCAGTCCAGGCTCCCACCGGCCTTATCAGGCAGCTAGTCTCAAATTACCAAGGACGCGCTTCCCTCCTCTGGACTTAAATACAGCGATATGCAGGCTGCCCTGCTCCTGCTCCTCTCCGCTCAGCAGGCCCGAAGGCCCCACCCTGTCCTTCTTTAATTCTCTCCTGTTTTCTTCATCTTCCATCACCCTACCCAGGCACCCAGCCCTTGCCACGCAGGCTGTGGCAGCCCTCATTCTCCTCCCTGAGCAGGGCAGCAGTAGCAGCAGTGACATTTGGCCCAGGTCCTTTGGAAATGAAACCTCAGCCTCTGGTTTCTGTGCCCTGCTCATCCTACTCCCCTGGACGTGGTACCTGTGGCAGATGGTCCTGGAAAATGCTCCCACCTAGGCATCCTGGAAGAAGGCACGCGTGGAGAGCTTAGGGCTGCCTGAGTGCTGCCTGCCATGGAGTCCAAGGGCGGAGGACACTGAGGCCACGGGGTCTTCCACGACTCAGCCACTTTCGGGGGTTCCTTGGCCCCAGTCTACCTTCCTCTTCCCTTTTTAGCCTTCTGTAGCACACTCTGGCCTCGTACAATTGACATGCCCTCAGCAAATGACAGGGATGACACTAATCCATTGGCATGGGTTCCGTAAAATGCTACGAGAAAGGATACCTGGGAATTGTGATACCAGTAGAATTCAGAGTTGCAAAAGCAGGCAGGTGTACCTCACTTTATTTTCCAGCAGTTGTGCCCAAAAGCTAAATGTAAAGTCTAATAAAGAATTCAAAATAAACCCTTGGCAGAATTGATCTCTTCCCCTCTCCCTCCCCTTGCTCTTGTTCTTGCTCTTGCTCTTTTTCTCTCTCTTCTGTATTGGAGATTGAGCCCATGGCCTTCGCACTAAGCTACATTCCTCTGGCCTTTTTTTTATTGTTTTATTTTGAGACAGAGTCTCACTTCGCTAAGTTGCCGGCGCTGGGCTCGACTTGTGATCTTCCTGCTGCAGCTGCCAGAGTGCCAGGGTTATAGGTTTACTGTGTGCCAGTTGCTATTTGTCTCCATAAACCTTCACAGTAGCCCTGGGATTCTAGATATTTTATTATTCCCGTCTTACAGCTGAGAAAGCAGGCGCAGGGCCGCTAAGTCAAAGGACAGTCAGTGACGGGACCACAATTCCCACTCTGGTGTTTACCAGTAGGACAAACTGCTGCCCGCTACTCTGGAATGCTGGTTTATGTGCTGCTGATCCGGAATGCCGTGTACCCCGAGAGCTCCCAAGAGAGAGCCACGGGCACTCCTGCCTGGCCAGATGGATCGGTCTGTAGGGAGAGGAGCTGGCAGGGGCACCTGTGTGTCTGCCATCGCAGACCACCCATCTGCTCCAGGTGCTGTGCATTCTGTGCGAGGAGACAAAGAGCCGGAGCCAGCTAGACAGAAACCGTTGCCCGCAGCCCGTGGTCCTTCTTGGTTTGGACACCTGCTGACAAGTGTCATGGGAGTAATGCATTCTGGGAAAGCCCCACCCTCACCCAAACCACCTGACACTTTCTAAGGAGAGTTGTGCTTTTCTCTCTCATCCCAGCTTTCCTTTCAGAAGCCTTTAACCAGAAATTCCCTCTGTTCAATTAGAGTAGCGGTTCATTTTTAAAACTTTTTTCAGTTTATTTTCAACTGATGCATGAAAACATAAATATTGTACATATGTATGGGGTACCATGTGCTGTTTTGATGTATGTACACATTGTATAATGTTTAAAGCAGGGTAAACACAGCTATCTCCTCAGACAGTTATCACTTCTTTATGACGAGGCATTGATGGTTTCTTTAAAATCCTTTCTTCGAGCTTTCTGAAGTGTACAGCCTAGAATTGTTATCTGCAGTCTCCCACAGCAGTAGCACACTGGGGCTTCTTGTTCTGTGCTTTGATAACCCTGGTGAACCTCTCCCTCCCCTGCCCCTCGTGTCCTTATTCCAGTGAATGTACCTGTTTGCCAGCTGGAGTGGGGGAGGCCGGTATGGTGGAGACTGCTGCAGAATCCCAGGGCTCTGCATTCAAATTCTGCTCAGATCGCTCAGCAGCTGTGGAGCCCTGCAAAAGTCCCTCAATGTTCTCAGGACCCGATCCCTCAACTGTGAAGGAATAATTATAACAATACAGTTAATAGTAACTACTTACTTTCTGCCAGACATTATTCTAAACACTTTATATTTCTACTCCAATCTTCACAACCCTTGAATGAGGTACTATTATTATTATATTTAATATATACAACACAATATTATTTTTATTATTATCATTATTGGAATTTTTTTTTTTTTTATTTTTTGTTTTGTTTTTTTTTTGGTACCGGGGATTGAACTCGGGTCCTTGCGCTTGGAAGGCAGGCCACCGAACCGCTAAGCTAAATCCCCGGCCCGCATATTGGAATATTATTATCCCTATCATATAGATGAAAAAACTGAGGGACAATGAATTTGGTGGGTGCTGGATGGCATATTTTAATGCAATGTTTTAAAATCTCATCAAAGTATTTAGAGAGATCACTCCAGTTTCTCAAAAGCATGACACTCAAAGCCAACTGTAGTAGCACAAGAATCTACCAACAACTTACCACGTATCAGGAGCTGAGAAGAATTCAGAAGAGAAAACAAGGTTCTGAGCCAGGAATTTAGAAAGAAGTACCAGGGTTCCTGCCCTCTAGGAGCTCATAGTCCGAGAGGAACAATGAATATGAAAACAAATAAATCATGGCCGTGGGACAGTTGTCAGGGCTGGATTGTCTGACAGCCCAGGAGGAGACAGCTTCCAGCAGAGGGCGTGACCCGGAGAAGAACTGAGCTCTCAGTGGGAGCAGGCATTCGGGGAACAGGGGCAGCACAGAGTTACAGAGCCTGCTGAGGTTGCAGGGGTGGAAAATGAGGAGTGTGAGGCCAAATCAAGACGCTGGGTTTAGCTGGGTGTGGTGGCGCACACCTGTAATCCCAGCACTCGGGAGGCTGAGGTAGGAGCATTGCCGCAAGTTCAAGGCCAGCCAGGACTACATAGTGAGGCCCTATCTCAAAAAAAGAAAAAAAGAAAAAGATTCTGGGCTCATCCCTCTATGCTGAGGTTCCCCAGGCGTATCCTTACACTGGCATTACCTGAGATCCTTTTGCAGGCAAGCACAGGATAAATAATTACCATTTTAATGTGTGTATTATAATGAGTCTCTCAAGCCTATAGTGTAAAGTTTCCTTTCAAAATGCATTTATTCACTTAAGGTAAACCAATTTAAAGAAAAATACCAAGTGAATCATGAACCAAGTGGGCAGGTGTGGGACTGATCACAAACATGGAAGGTGAGAGGCCGGGCTTTGGGCCTCCCTGTGAGCAGGGGAGAACCACCTCACTTCCACAGGGAAAGGCCATGAGAGGGTGTGCGGGTGGTGGGATCTTCCTTGTGGAATGATGGGAGTCATTCCTGTGAGCCAGAAACTGGTTCACTGGTTCATCTCCAGTTGTCTATGGAAGCAAAAATTGTAGGCAGGGACTGGAATGTTGGAGTGGGGAAAGGGAAAAACTGAGCAGAGGAGGAACTTTGCTGGCAGTAAAAATCAGTTATCCATGATCACTGGGAAATAAGGAGGAAGCCAAAGAACACAGGAGGACTCCGGGTTTACTGGTTGAGGTCTTGAGTAGTCTTTGCCTACCAGCCATTCTTTGGTTTTTTTGTTTTGTTTTATTTTTGTTTTTGATTTTTGGTTTTGAGACAGGCTCTCACTACGTAGTTGAGACTGACCTGGAACTCACTATGTAGCCCAGGCTGGTCTCAAACTCATAGCGATCCTCCTGCCTCAGCCTCCCAAGTGCTGAGATTACAGGCATGCGCCACCACACCCAGCCCTACCAGCCATTCTTAAGAGCCCCTAAACTATGTCAAACAGGAAAAATTTCACGAGGGTACATTCCTCATTCTGTTCCAAAGCGGAAGTTCTGTCTGCTTTGAGGTGAAGTGAACACTTAGAAGTTGTCCACTTGGTTTATGTATTAGCCAAGCCCAGGTTTGGAGCTTGAGAACTTGAAGATACTTGAGTGTCACGAGATCCCCAGGCTCAGTAGAGTCTGAAAGCGGCCAGTCCCCCTTTCTCGATGATTAAGGTCAGCCAGCGTATTGCAGCCCCCTCAGCCATGATGGACAAAATAATACCTGAAGGAAATAGTAACATGGATCTTCAAAGCCCAGATTGCTTTGAGCCACTGTAGATCTCTGTAGTTTTTAGCTCCCTTATTTCATGTTTCTGTATAAAGATGAAATCCCATCATTTGGAGAAAGGAAGAAGGAGGAGGGACGGTGTCCTGGGTTAATTGCTCTGCATTTGCCAGGATTACAGCAAAGTGAGAAAAGGGAAGGTTTTCCTGAATAAAACTTGACAAGAGGCGAAAAAGTTGGAGTTGCGAGACTTTACACTTTCTCTCTCAGGAGTTGCGCAACCTAAAATACTTTGATCACATAAGCACACAAAGCTGCCAAGTGGTCCATCTTCCGGGGTGCCTCCTGGAGTCGGCTAAGGGTGGACCGCAGTTGCTCCTTGCCGTGGTCTGTGCCCACTGCCTTGTGCGCTCTTATGGACTCCCACGTCGGCACTGGCCCTTGAGCCTGTGTATCTCCTGGGCGTGGGCCAGGCTTCTGGGAAAGTGTAGCCTGTACTCGCTCGAGCATTAATGCAGCCCTTGTCTTTCTCTTTCCCTCAGGTATTTATGGGCCATCGGTAAAAATGTCTGGAAGAGGTGGAAGAAAAGGTTTTTTGTATTGGTGCAGGTAACTCTTCAACTCTAATATCAGTCTTAGGGGCCATCAGTGTTAACAGTGCAGTAGTATGAATGATACTTGTTAATTAAGGTGTGGCTTATATACTGCATACAGAAAAAGCATTCAGCTCAAGGTGTTTTTCCAGATTCTATGTCTGGGTAACCACCATTCAAGGGAAGATACAGAAAGCAGAGGGCTCCCCATTGCTCTTTTTACTATTTTTGTGTCACTTTAACATTTGAAAAAAATTAGTTCATACTTACTCTTTTTAATTCTAATAATACAGAGACGTGAGAGATACCTGGGAGAGAGTAGACCCCATCTATGCCCAGGTCCTTGCCAGGGATGCCGGACCCCAAGAGGGAGCAAATGCGTAACTGTTAGTCACTAGGGGCATTAATATTGTCTTAAAATAATTTGGTATCTCTAAGAGCACTGAAGTAGTCATGTCAAAACTTAGTTGGCATTTGCATCTATTTTATTATTTAATATATATTTGATTTTGAGTTACCTGTGGTGGACAGTCTACTCTTTTGATGCCCGGGGCTTCCGCAAGTCTTAAGCAACCTCCTATAACTATGCATGACAGAGTATTTCTTTTCAGAGAGATTATTTTATAAACCAAATACTCCCTGTTACACTGCAGCTTGCTTTTCTCACACTAGTTTTTATAAACGTTTTTCCACATTTATACCATAGCTCTTGCTCCAATTTTTGGCAAGTTTTCCATTTTTATGGGACTTGCGGACTCCTCCAGTCTGGGCTACTGTTAGCAGTGGTCCAGGGGACATCTGTGTATGCATATTCTATAGATTCAGATATTTATATCAATTAATGATGCATTAGTAATATATAAATAATATGCTGAATTTCTTGAGTGTTTCTAAAAAATAATTTCCTAGAAATAGCAGTACATGTACTTGAAAAGTAATATATGGTTTGTTTTTGTCCATCAAGATTTACATCAAGTTTACAAACGTGCCATTGCCTCTTTCCAATTTGCAAGTTCTGTCCCCGTATTTACACCTTAATTCAATTTGTAAATCTTTAATTTATACTGTACTCCGAAAGATGTCATGAAATGTCACCTTATAATTCAGTAACAAATGGTGCTTATTGGGCACTAGTATTTAGAGTACTACAAATTCTGAAATCTCACTATGAAGCAGCTCCCTTTTAGGTCTAAATGACCTAGAAAATCCCACCAATCCTGAGCTTTCAAGACAACAGCCTCTGTAGAGCCCTCAAATCACTGCTGCTGTGCTGAGGCAAAATGCAACTGTCTCTCTATAAAGGAAGCCTCCGCTTCCATCACTGCTATAAGGTACAGCAGGGCCTCACAGCGATTACTCACAGGGACAGTCTTGGAGTGATCCAGGCCCTTCAAAATCATCTGTGGCCAAACAGTGGAAGACATCCATCCGAGAGATCTTGCCCCTCCTGTCGACTGACCAGTGCTTACTACACACTGCGTTATGCAGGGCATGGGAGCAGATGTAGAGGGCTATGAGGTCTCGCCTCTCACTTCCGGAATGGTACATGGTGCAGCTCTTTATATACAAACAGCAGAATCAACTAATTGAGGCTTCAAAAGGAAAAAGAAATTAGTGTACTGGAAGGCTCAGAGATGGCGCACAGGATTGTTGAAAAGGCTGAATGATGCACCTTTGTTAAGGACAGAGCCTAGCATCGCTCTGGAAATCCTGGTTTTCCATAGGACGAGATGGCTCTGATCATTTTCTGTCGAGCATCGCATTCAGAGAGTGAGTTGAATTGACCCAGCATCGCCACACACCCAACCTTCAGCAAGGGCACAGCAAGGGCAAGCTGCCCCTGGGCCGACAGCCCCACTGGGCTGGCTGTCTCTCTCCGGCACAAACTCAGGACGCCATTCCCACAGGAGAAATGGACTCTGGACCCCACCAGTGTCATCACCGTTCCCACTTAAAGCGGGCAATCTGTGTCCCAGCAAAGTTGTCTCAACTGCCCAGGATCACATGGCTACAAAGTAGTGGATCAGAAAATCTGGTCCAGCTCTGTATAGCTACAAAAGCTGTGCTGCCTCTGGCCTTCGTGAAAACACCAATTAGGAGTCTGGGATGTGAACGCCATGACCCTTTATTCTTAGCCACATCACAGTGCAAGTGGCCCTCTTTCCCCTGGAAGTGTATACTTTACGCCATAAAACATGTATTCATCCTTACGTATTGGCTCAGTCAGTTGTGGCTTTGAATAGCTGCCCTACCTACTAGACCCAACTGCACCAAGTCCCTACGTTCTGACAGTGCCACCCACCTCTGTCTCATACTCATCGCCGAAATAGCACATCCCTAAAATAATGTGACTGACGCTTGCCTTCCTAACAAATGCAAAGGCGGGACTCAAGTCTGGTTTGTGCACATTTCTCTTCCTAGCACCAAACACACCACCTCTTTGTGGGATGAATGAATGTGCCGTGATTGAGAGCTCTTCTCTAAGACATACATGTGAATATGGGGAGAGGGCTAATGGCCAGGGTTCCATAAAAATCACAGCTACAAGGACAAAAGCAAAGAAAAAGAATTTAGACAAAACATACTGTCAGTTTGTATATCCATTTGTTTTAGTCCTCCTAAGTGGTAGGAGGACGAGCCGACCCTTCATATCTAATCACTGCACTCTGCTTAGGGACAAGCTTAAAGATATTAGGTAGCTCCTAGGTGTTAAAACAGTAAATCTTAAGCCTAAATGTACATTAAGATACATCTGAAATTCTTCATAAACTCTGTATCTATCGAAGGACAATTTAAATGCTGGTGTGATAATGTACTCCTGTAATCCCAGCACTCTGGGAGCCAGGACAAGAGAGTCACAAGTTCCAGCCCACCCTGGGCAACTTAGTGAGACTCTGTCGAAGAAAAAGGGAGAGAAGGAGGGAGGAAGGGAGGCAGGGAGGCTGGCAGAGGGTGTAGCTCAGGGCAGAGGCCCTAGGTTCAATCCAGAGATAGAGAGACTTAGAGAAATGTACATTTCATTGGAATAGCTTTCACTTAGCGAGGTCTTGTGGAAGCTTAAAAACAAATAAATGTCCCCAAATCTGTGCTCCCACCTTTCAAGCACTCTAGAACAACTAAGGTTCTCTCAAACCTGCCATAAGTAGAATTAGTCAGAGTATTCTCCCTTCCTCTGCTCTCTAATCTAAATTGCCAAATTCTAAATAAAAATGATCCAAATACAACAACTCGTGTCTATTCACCAACTCCAAACCAACCGTTTACCCGCGTGACTTCATCAGTACCAACCAGAAGAGGGCAGCAGGAGACAGCTTCAAGAAGCAAGCCACTAAAATGGAACAGGAGAAAAGAGGCCCAAAAGCGCAGTAGCAGTAAATGCATAAATCTTGCAGTAACACCCTTCTGTTGTGATATTTTTCTGATCTCCATTGAGTATCCAAACCTCTCTGTTTGGCTAACCACATAAGAAACTATATCATCTCTCATGTTGCCAGATGAACTACCAGGTAGAAATTACCAGGGAATGGTTCCTGCAGTTTCTGTGATCATCAGCACGTGGGGAGTTGTGGGAAGTTGTGGAACTGCCCGGGCCATGCTTGCCGTGATCTGCAAATGAAGGGGTAGGCAAATACGCCTTTATTGGATCGTGCCTCCCTCGGAAGCACCTATCAGACTCAGGGGTGCGCGCTGGAGACTGCTCGCGGGGTGCCATGGAATCCAGACCTGTGACCCCGGGCCTGCCTTCAGAGCAGTTACAGTCAAGTAGGCCAGCGCACCAGCTGAGCTGTGCAGTGCTAGGGTGTTGGTGCCAAATGGGAGGAAACCGCTTCCACAGAAAAAGCATAGACGAAGGCATGGAATGTTTGCTCTCTGGATGTTGCACACAGTGTGGAAAGCACAGTGATCACCCAGAACAAAGTGAAATACAAACGGGGGCTCTGAGGCTTAAAGAAACGGTAGATTATCAGAGTGGGGGTGGGACCCCAAGGCCCCCTGCATCTGTCCCTCCGTCGTGGAGCAGGGGCTGTTGCTGGCCGCCCTGCATGCGGCCAAGAATAGTGTGTGTTGTCTCAGGAAACAGTTCTCGGTGGCCTGGCTCCTGTTTCCCTCGGGAACTTGCACTGTAAGGAGCAGATTGTGCACATCACAAGCACTAGAAACTCAAGTGGGGCGGTGGCATTTTCATCGGGAACCAACAGAGGGCAGCAGCAGACAAACCAATCATGGTGAAGTTCTGCAAGGACCCTTCATGGAGCAGGGGACCTTCCAGGCTGGGAGAGTGCCTGAGATGTTTACAGGGCTGAGAACACTGATTGCTGACTGCCATTAAAACCAGCAACAAAAGGCAAACCTCACCAAAGAAGAGACTAAAACTGTTCCCAGCTGGGATCAAAGTTCACTTAGGAAATGCCTCTTTTAATAAAAGGAACTAAGTGGTGAGGGACGTGGCACTTGACGTTTGACATTCTTGATGTCAAATGTGCCCAAGAGCTTAGCCGGAAGCTCGGGAAGGCTTGCTTTCCCACGGGCTCCGTGCAGATATGCCAGACGTAGGACTGCCAAGTGTCCATGCCAGGGCTGGATACACCCTAACGACAGGATTCTGGAGGTGGGCCTGCGGCCTTGGGCACCTACCCTATGCTGGCACAGGCGCCACACATTGGTGCAGTGAGAGCTGCCACTTCGGGCACCAGTGACAATGGCCATGCCGTCGGGGGCTGAGGGTTGTCCGCTGTGACTGGCACCTAGCGATTGAGTGCTCTTTGCTTGTGACAGCATGTCATTCCTGCGCTTGTGTGAGGTGAAGGGGAGGCTTTTCAAAGCCATCCAAAGCACTCATTCCGTGAGGGGTGGGGGCAAAATGATGCTGAGAACAGGTCTGCAAAACATAAACTGCTTTTTAAAGATGCATAACTAAGTGAGAGTCTAGTCTCTAACTGCAAAGCAAAAGGCTTGTGTTGTGTCCACAAGCAAGGCAGCCTCAACCAGAGCCATGGTCATAATGGGCAGAACCTATAACATTGCCGATGTTCAACCACGGCAATGGCAACTGCATGTGTCTTCACGCAGCGATGGTAAGGACAGCAGTAAGGGTGCCAGCTGACCCTAAGGGAGCACTGAGCAAGTGTCGTGGAAAGGTCTGAGTGTGTTCATGTGTGGGCCCAGTCCTCACAGCACGCCTTAGCTTATATCCAATCCGCAGACTACCACAGAGGCCAAAAGCCACACATTTAGAAGGTGGAGAAGTGGACTTGAACTCAGGGGAGAGGATACACGAGGAGGGTGTCTGGGGAGAATGGGCTCTGGAGGGACAGTTTCACAGTGTGCCTTTCCTTCCCAGGTCAGTCAGTACACATTTGCCATGTGTAGTTACCGAGAGAAGAAAGCAGAGCCTCAGGAACTTCTGCAACTGGATGGCTACACTGTGGATTACACGGACCCCCAGCCAGGTACCATCTCTAGGCCCTGGATGCCCAGAACTCTGTGTTTCTTAAATCAGTAGCCAAGTACTAAATGTCAGTGTGCAGATCAATATTAGTAAATATTAGTGCTGGGCACTTAGTGTTGACTGGGTTTCAGAGGCGACCACTTCCGCCAAGACCCTGTCCTGACAGTTTTCCTCCCTGTTGATGAAATGCCATCCAGGCCTGGGGCTTTCTCTGGTTACAAACACATTCATTTTTCTTTTGTGTATCTTTCCTACATCGATCATGCGATGCTAAAATGTGTTCCTGAAGCAAGAATTTCTACGGGTACACTAAAGACTGTGTGTGTGTGTGTGTGTGTGTGTGTGTGTGTGTGTATGTGTGTGTGCGCGTGAGCGCTTGCAAGCACGCGCATGTGGTTTGTCACCAGTGATGTGTGGGCTTGGCAGATATGATGCCTCCGTGACCTGGCTGGAAGTCAGGAGCTCGATGTGGCTAGGCGGTAGGACTTGGTAAGAGCACCCTCCCCAAGTACATTTTTCCCCTGAGAAGACACCAGTCTCTAAGCATAAGCATCGCAGCTCCTAAGCCTTATGTAACGAAGAGAACCATATAAATGGAAGTATTTCTCGTAAGTTCTACATTGCATAAGTTTTACATCCTGCCCCCTCACACTTCTCCCCCCACCCATTTTATCTTTTTCCCAGAAAAATGAATAGAAATCAGCCTCAAAGAACCTTCAAAATGAGGGTGGGGGTGCGAAATCATTTCAGCATATTAATGAACAACAAGCACCAACAGCCCTCTCTCAGAGAAGTTTATTTTTATGCCAAATCTGCACAAGGGAAGCATTTCCAACCATACTGCATTATTTGGCCCAAAACCTTTTTTTACTCCCATATTGCTCTTCCACATGCAACAAAATACACATAAAAGAAAAACAGAGTTTGAGAGAAGATGGGGTGTTAACCTGAAAAGGTATGGCAGGGAAGGCCTTGGCCAGGCCCCCTTGGAGAAACCAGCATCCCCAGAATCCCAGCTCCTCAGGACTTCCACCCGAGACTCACATCCTTCCAGAGCATGGTACACAGCTGACCGTGTCAGCCTTGAGTACAAGCTTTGCCTGGAAACCCTTCATGGTGAGTAGAGCCCAGAGTTAGAACCTCACTGTGCTGTAGAACGTTTTAGTAAGAGAAGGGCCCTGCATTAAGAAACCAGGTGTCAGACTGCTCTGCAATAGTTTGGGCTCTTCTCAAGTCATTGGGTTCTCTTTGAAGAAATATATTCAGTCAGTCCTAAGATGTCCATCTTAACATGGGAGGCTAAAGAGGCAATCTGAAAAGAAAAGCTGACGTCATCTCAGGACAGTAACTTCCTGAGAGCCCGCCCCTAACTCGCTTTCCTCCATGATTGCGTCCGGCCCTCCGTGCATCTCACAGAGTACACGGGACTTGGATCAACATCCCACTTTGTAAATGAAGAAGCTGAGATTCCAAGAGGGCAAAGGCTGCCCCATGGCTGGACTGGGACCTGGGATCCAACCCTGTCACTCTTTGGCACTTGCTATATGAACAGCAGTAATAACGGTTCTTCTTTATGAGCTGACAGCAGAATTTGCTTCCTGTAGTGAGGGAGATAGAAGCAGGGAGAAAGCCCTTCAGTGTGCACACTTAGGAGTGACTGCACAGGTGTTGTTAAAGCTTTTTTATTTCTTTCCATTAGTGACCCCATGCGTCACGATTTATAAATTCCTTTTATGCAAGACATAAATGGAAAATAAATTGATTATGATCTTGGGGATATTAAGCAGCTTCTTCTGTCTTTCCCTGTGCCAAGTCCTGTATTTCCCAAGTAATATTTGACTGATCACTCTCATTTGTCATTTTGTCAAGAAAACATTTAACTTGAAATTTCTTTTTCTGGTTTTGGGGATTGGACCCAAGGCCTTGTTCATAACAAGGCTACCACTGAGCTGCATCTCTTGTCCCTCAGTCCCTTCACTCAGAATTTCTTCCTTCTTTTCTTTCTTCCTGCCTCTCTCTCTCCCTCCCTCCCTCCCTCATTCCCTCCCTCCCTCATTCCCTCCCTTCCTGCCTCTATTTCTCTTTCTCTTTTGAGACAGCACTTTGCAAAGTTGCCTAGGCAGCTATAGCCTCTCAGCGCACAGAGGTTACAGGTGTGTATGGCCCTGCCGTGCTTGCTCAGAACGTCTTAAAGAATGCTTATTAAAAAGCAAGGTTTCTGAGCCCCACTCCCATCCTGTGAACCAGAAGGAGAGGAAGCAGAACCCACCTTTTAAAATAAGCACTCCAGGGGATTCCGGTGTACAGGAGGTTCGCCGGCTGTGGATCTCAGTACAGACGGGTTGGGCGCATCCTCAGAGCCTGCGGCAGCTCCCAGGGCTTGGGCCTCGGGCTGGGGGAAGCTGGAGTCCCTGCCTGTCTCTGCCAGTCCTGGCCTCCTTCGGGGCAGCAGTAAAGCCAGATTGTGGACTTGCTTCTGGGCTCTGTCCTCTCGCAGCCAGTCTTTCCCATCCGGAAGGCTGGGACTGGGTAACATCCTTGCCTCAGGACCAGCCAGGTCCTGACCCTTGGGGTCACCAAGACCCAAGCATTTTTACTAAATGAGCTCTACCTATTTAGAACCCTTGAGATGTCAGTTTGGGGAATTGGTAAATTATTGTAGGTAAGTTTTACGCATGAGCTACTCTTTTTAAACTAAAACTGAAAATGTTTTCCTTTACCTTTCCCTGGGTGTGATTCACAGGGTATGCAACAGTCTCTCGATTCCCCCAAGCAATGAAATCTTCATATAAAAAGATATCCATTCAGAATAATGCCAGGCACAGTATGTCAGACAGCTAACTTTGGGCATAGGCAATGCGTGTGGGTCTTTTCCCCCCATAAACAGAGGGTAATGTCCTCACCTCCCCCAGCCACTGGCCATGCCTGGCCTACCTCCCTCTGTTCCTGTGTGTCTCTGGGTCCTCTGTGCTTCCTCCCCGGAGAACCTTACACTGTTTTCCATCGTGTTTTGCAAAAGCCTTCCCAACAAACTGCTGCTCTCGCTGACTTTGAGTCTCTTGTAGAACAGGACACTGTCCTCTTCGCTCTCTCCTGTCTCGGCCCTCTCTGAATTGTGTCAGTCCCCTCCCTCCTTCCTGGTGTCCTCAGAGTGTCCTTGGTCTCCTACAGTGCAATGCTGACAATCATCAGCTCTGGAGCAGCCAGATATTGGGGATTAGAAGCACAGCTCTGCCACGTACAGACCAGGGTGGCTTTCATTTTCTCTCCCGGGAAAGGGAATGATAGTAATCATAGGACTATTGGGAGGAGTAGGGAAAGATCTGAAAGTTGATCATCTCTCCAGTTGTGGCTCTGAAAGCATGCACAGTGGAGAAGTCTGACCGCTTCCCTAGGTCCCAGGCTCTTTTGGACAGTCCCTTCGGGGTCACTGTCCCCACCCCCAGCAGCAGCCTGAGGGGAGGGGAAGGGGATGAAAGTCCAGAGATATCTAACCAGGCACTGACTGACTGCAGCGAAGCAGGCGGCTGATCCTGAGGTTGCCAAAGGCTAGACTGCAGACCCATGCCTCCTTTTAACTCCTTGGTGCTCACTTTTCAGGCTGAAAGCCGCTTTAAAAATTGTTTTACTTCCCTGCCATCCAGAATTTTTCTTATCATGTCATTCTTAAGTTCATTGGGTTTTTCCAGCTTGTTACCCATATATCCCCCTTTGCAGGTTACACATGTATACCCTTCACAAGAAGTTAGACAAAATAGCCCTCATAATCATAACCATCAAAAAGATTTTTATCAAAACTTTGTTGAGCCAGGCATAGCGAGGCAGCCTGTAATCCCAGCATTCTGAAAGGCTAAGGCAGGAGGATCACAAATCTGAGCCCAGTCTTGGCAACTTAGTAGCTTAGCAAGACCTCGTCTCAAAATAAAAAGTAAAAAGAAGCAAGGGCTGAGGATGTTGCTCAATGTAAAGGCACTGGATTCGATGCCCAGTGCTGAAAAAAATTATTGATATTGTATCACTAGACTAAAGAAATGGCTATCCATTACCTCAGTCTCTGGTCATTGTAACCCATACTCACTCTTCTATAGTAGACACTTGAATTAACATTGTTGTCACAGAGAAGTCCTGTGTCGCCAGAAATCTCTTCCAGTGCCAGAGTCAGATGAGTTATTGTCTGGACCTCACTGCAAATTTTGAGATGCAAATCATTCATTTAGTCTTCTCTTTACTTTTAACTAATAACTGGGGAGAGAATGGGGAATGTAGATATTTAGATATTATGCTTTATTCCTTGATGGAAAGTCCCAGGTACTTAAAATGCAGGTATCTGGAATGTGTTGATAGATACAATACAGCTTTGTTCTCAGCCCAAAGAGACACTTGTACTTTCCTCTAAATTTTTACCTGGAGGACTACCTAGGGAAAATTAGGGCTGTAGCTTATTCATTCCTTCAATAAATATTTGTTGAGCACCTACTTTGTGCCATGCACTATTCTAGATGCCCAAGGATATGGTTGTGAACAAAACAGGCAACAACTCTTTGCCCCTAAAATACAAAGTAAAGCGTGTAGTTTGCTGGAAGGTGATAAGAGCAATAGAGAAAAATTAAGCAAGGTAGGGGAGGCAGGTAAGAAGAGGTGGAGGTCAGGGAGGGCCTCATCAGGAATGTGAATCTTGAAAAGACATGCAGGAAGTGAGGGTGTGATTCTGCAGGAGAGATCTGAAAGAAGAGTACTGCCGAGGAGCAAGTGCAGAGTCTGGAGATGAGGAAGTGCCTGGGTGTTCATGAACAGTGGGGCTACCGTGAAATGAATGCATAGTGCACAGGGGCAGAGAGAATGCTAGCAGAGGAGACCATGATGGTGGAGGGCCCCTTGATCTGGGCTGCAGACTTGGCCAGAAGGAGCTTTTTGTCCAAGTGGAGTATAGAGCCACTGGCAAGTTTGAGCAGAGGAATGATCTAACTTGATGCTTGTGCTGAATGGCTGACTTTGACGCCAGGTTGAGAACTGACTCTGGAGAGTGAGACTGGAGGCAGACATCAGACAGGGACCTGTAAAAGGAGCCCAGGAGGGAGAAGATCGCAGCCAGGTTCAGTGTAGCAGTATGAGTGTGGGAGCACTCACACCTGGTAATTTCTAGTGGTAGAATTCTGAGAATTTCAATCCCCTTTAGAGAAATTAGGAAGTGAGAGAGCAAAAATGACCCAAGATTATGGACTTCAGCTTCTGCAGACATGGGATAAAGGCTTTCTGGGATGAAGAGGAGGCTTAGCAGAAGGATGGCGCTGGGTAAGAAAAGCTCGGCATGTCCATTGGGTGTCGGTGTGGGGAAGTCAAGAAAGCCATTGCCTGGTCAGATCTGGGGTTCAGCACAGAAGTCCCAGGGTGGGAGAAATGTGAGGACCCTCCACACGTTCATGCTACGCAAAGTTCAGTGACATCGTGGGAGGATATGGGTAAAGGAGAGAGGGGTGCAAGAACAGGACACCATCATACTCTCACATTTAAAGGCCAGGAGAAGGGCAAAAAACAACCAGCAAACAAGACAGAGAGGAGAAAAAGGAAAAAGGAGAAAAAGCCAGGGAGAAAAAGGAAAATGCAGTTTCCTGGAAGCCAAGTGGAGAAAGTGTTTCAAGGAGACAGGAGCGTGTGTCCAGTGCTGCTGACCAGTGATGGAGTGAATGAAATGGAACTGATTGTCAGAGTCAGCAAAGGGAGGTCATGGGTGGTCTCGACAAGAGTGTTTCAGTCAAGCAGCAGCTGGAACGGAGGGGCCAAAGAGGAAGAAAGAAACCGTTGCTACTTGAGTATGGTGCTCAGAGCTTGTCAGAAACGCCGGCTCTCGGGCTCCATTCCAGACCTCTAAATCAGAGGCTGCATTTATAAAGATGCCCAGGGAACTCATGTGCACAAGAATTTCATTTCTGATGCCCTGATAATCCTTTCACTGTGCAGAGGAGAACAACAGGGTAATAACCGACAGGGGAGCCAGGCTCCAAAGAGGCTTTGTTGTTATTGGTCATTTGATTCTAAATATAAAGGGGCAAGGCGTGTGGTTATGGGAGAGGTGCGGCCGTCCTACAAGCAGTCTGCATGATAGTTCCATCGAGCCAGGGCCAACCTGTCTCTTCAGTGCCATGGTCACACTCATGGCCAAGTGGTTCTCACAATCCCCACCTAGACTCGGGTAAATCCCTCCTCCTCTCCTCTGGCTCAAAGAGAAGCTGCTGAAACTGCCTGCTGAGTCTTGTTTAGAAGTTGTTCTTTCCTTGCCTCGCAGGTCTGGAAGGGGGCCGAGCCTTCTTCAATGCAGTCAAAGAAGGAGACACGGTGATATTTGCCAGTGATGATGAGCAGGACCGCATCCTGTGGGTCCAGGCCATGTACCGGGCCACAGGACAGTCCCACAAGCCCGTTCCCCCGACCCAGGTCCAGAAGCTCAACGCCAAGGGAGGGAACGTGCCTCAGCTGGACGCCCCCATCTCACAGTTCTGTAAGTGAATTGCCACTTCTTACAAATCTAGCTCCATAGGGTGAAGCAGACCTCCCAAAGTTGAATAAGAAAAACTAGCTACTTTTATATTCGGGATTCCCAACACCATGTTTGCTGGAAACATACAGAGGATTCAGGGTGAAAGTTGGGACACTATGGTAGATGAACGTTATTTTAAAGTGCAATACTTGACATTCTCCACCAAGAACTGCACAAAAGAAAGCGTATTCTATGTGTATTTATTTCTCATTGCTTTAGTGAAACTTTGGAATTCACAGCCAAACATGTATTTGTTTGAGTTCTTCATGTGTAGCAGATTATCTATGTTATTGTTTCATTTCTTCCTATTAAGTGTGATTTTAAAATAGTGTTGATTTGAAATCAACTCAAATCTGCAATTTAAAGTCATTTAAAAATAAATGATTATATTATCATATATAGTGGGAAAAAAGTACCTAAAATCCCATTCTTAGCTCAAGTGTCAGCTACCCAGAAATGAAACTGTCTCCTTCAGCAACCACAGTGAATATTCCAGTTTCTTCTCCTTTCAGCTCTGCCTCTGTTTACTTTCTTGTCCCTTTGCCCCATCTTCTTACTGCCTAGGAATGACTTTTCTCTCCCAACACTTGTGATACACAGGGTAAGGTGAAAGCCAGTATGTGCTTGTACACAATTTACTAAAACAAAGAAAAATGCAGATGTAAAGCAGGAAATCAAACAAACACTCACTCTAAGTAGAAACATCTGTCTTACCCTGAATACCAAGTCAACCAGGGCTAACTCAGGTACAAGCCATCTTAGCCGTTGTCAGGGGGATCCCTCACTTTAGTTCAGAACCCACTTCCTCAGTCTGGGTCACTGAGCAGCTGTCTGGAAATGAGACATACATAAAAAAACAAGAAAGAATAAGAGAGTCCATCGTGGGAATGGGGAGCAGAAGGACAGCCCGTCTCTGGGACCATCATTGAGGCTGCCCCTTCCTGTTTTCTCTTATTGTCTTTGGCATCTAGGGTTATCTGAGACCAGTAAAGGTAGCAGCAGTCATTCACTGAGCTAAAACCTACCCAATATTTATTTTTTCTAAGTAAAAAACAACTGTGTGAAAGAATCCCTCCTCTCACCCTGCCCAGTGACCTTTTTGTAATGGATTTGGAAACTGCACATCATATCCATCTGAAATGCAATCATTCTTGCATGAGAAAAAACGCTAATTATGACCACCATCCAATCAATCTCATAACACATATATCGCAAGTGATATTTGGAAAACACTGGTCTTATTTTTTCCAAATAATCTCCCGTTCTTTTGAGGTCATTTCACTTCGCATTCAGTGTCTGTTCTCTCATCTGCCCAGATTAAGAAGATCCACATGGCTGTGATTGACATACTTTTTGCTCACTAAACAGGGAAGAGGAAAATTAAGTGGAGAGAGCTAGGGTGTGTGGTTCAGTGATACAGTGTATGCTCAGCATGCGCAAGACCCTGGTCCAAGCCCTACTGTCAAAAAACAAAAGGTTAAAAAAAGAAGACTAGTAAAGGAAGCTGCTTAAGAAGAGAGATGATTCTCCATGGAAATACACAGAGGCTCTTGATGGAGATTTACCTCTGTAGGTACGATTTATATTGTTATGAAATTAAAATACAAATTATTAGGCAACAGCAAAAGGATTCAGTTGAATATATACAGCTTGACTAGGAACTTTTATGAATTGGAGCATCCAGCAAAATCCGAAAGGTTAGAATTTGAGGAATAAATACCATCCCTAGAAAGAATACGAGGTGGTCTGAGAGGTAAGAGATAATGCATACCCCTGGGATTTCTCAGAATTTATCTATCTGACCTTCTTGTCCACTAATTCCTTGAACTCTGCCCAGAAATGGGTTTTCTCTAAAGAATATGAGACCTTACTTACTACATCTACCTACTTCCAGAAGGAAAGGGCCAGCACATTCAGCCGTGTTGGTTGGAAAGGACAGGAGGTCCCCTTCTCGGCCATGAATGTGAACATGCCCCGAGTTGTATGCTGCCCAGTCTGCCCTGCTGTACAGGGAGTCCTGTAATAAATGGCAGCCCTGCCCCTGAGCTTCAGTCCAGCAACGCTGAGCTCAGCAGTCCACGGTTACTTCATTAACCCTGAGACAGAACCTCAGCCTTGACTCAGATTCTATCTATTGATAGTTTTGGAACTTACTAAAAACTGCAGCCAAACTACCAACTTCTATTCCCATAGTTTAAAAACCATCAGAGGAAAACAGTCCAACCTTCCACTGAACATCTGCATGTAGGCGTAGACAGAATCCATGAGAAAGAAAAATGAAAGAACCAAGGATGAATTGCACATTCCACTCCATGGTGCCTTGGGGTACACATAACAAACTTGCGCTCACACATGGGGGCCCGGATGAGGGGCTGTATCCAAATTTTTAGGAGAGTCTGCTGTAGAATGGTGGTTAGTTCACAGTGACTTCACAACTGCTTTTACTTAAGTTCAACCATCACTATTACACAGATCAAACTGTATATGAGTAAGTCAGTGTCAATTACGATGTAAGGTGACTAACTCATCCCTGATTTGCCTGGGACTTCCCTACTTTGAGCCCTGAAAATCCTTTGTCCCAGGAAACCCTCAGTCCTGGGAGAACCAGGTTGTATTGGTCACCTAGTTCTCTGAAGCAATAAAAATGAAAAACAATCGTAACACACCACTAAATAGCAAGTTTGGTCCTTCACTTACATTTGGTTCATTTGTTCAAGTTACAGCTCAAAAATTAGTCACAAATTCTCTAGCTAGCAAAAAAAGTTTTTAAAAATCAAGTATTGCATTTTAAAAAGGTTTCTTTGACTCCCAAAAGGTAAGGGTTATTTTTAAGGACTTTACTCTGCACACATCTCATTAAATCCTGGTTTTGAGTTTGTGTTCAAAATGCTTGCCATTCTTCTCGGGAGTAATTTTGGGCAACTTTTGATGACTTGACTTTGTCACCACTTTATTAGTATTTACACAGCCAAGGGAAGCTAAGAAGTAAGCAGCAACATATAAATTTGGGGGGATAGGGAAAAGAGACACTCCAGTCTTGTCATGTTGCTATCTGTTCCAGGGAAACCTGAGATGAATGTTTTATAGTTTGGGAAACTTAGGAGCAATTGTAAGTTGATTGGGGTCTTTAAATTCAGTTTGACAGACTTTTTGGTGTAGTTTGTATTTTTTGCAATTTCAAAGTGAAAACACATCTAAGAAAGAAGTAGAGTATTTATATAATTGGAAAATTGGAAAAAAAAATAGATCCTGCTATTCATTAGTTTGTGACTCTACAAAGATTTTGGGAGGGTTCCATCGACCTTTAAAATTTTTTTGTTCTTTTGTGGTTTTTTTTGTGTGTGTTGCTGATTTAGTTTAGTTTTTTTCTTTTTTCCTTTTTAGTTAAAATTTTAAAGATTAAGTTGGTACCTAGTTACTCAACTTTTTCAAATGAATACTTTCAGTTCTCTAATTTTTAAGGCCACTGTTGCTCACATTGGAAACATCCAAACTTGTATTTGAGTTTATAACTAGTTTCATATGCCTTAGTATGTTATGCCAGGTGGCCTCTCACCAGGACATCTTATCCCTGTCCATTCTGCACTAGTGGAGCAGTAACAATCTGTACCTTAATTCTCATTTGGAAGGAGGTGGGGCATAAGGGGCTCTTTTAAGCTTTGACTTTTGGTCAATGATTATTTGACATATTACAGTGATTCGTTTTAAAGTGTATTTCTCAACTAATAAAATCATGCATCCCCAAAGTTGGATGTTTCTGAAAATTGTTCTGTTTTTAACCCATATTAAATAGTCTTATACAGCTAGGGGGATTGTTATTACTATTGGTTTGGGGGTTGTTTTGTTTCTCTTTTGTTTTGTTTGAAGTTTTCTTGTTCAATCTTTGCTCAAACCCAAGAACTTTAGCTGCTAGGTTAGAGCTCCTGTCTGCTTTCCTGAGCCTTGTTGCTAGTCTTTATGTTATTCTGGTTTGTTCCTTCTTACCCTGCTAACTTCTAGCTGGACTGAAGGGTAAGTGCTCCCCCATAGCTAGCACAGCTCAGATAATCAGACCAGATTATCTGACACCTGCAATGTGCTTTCCCCCTCCTCTTAAATCTTCCTCATGTCTAGACTTTGTAGTAAAACTTTTCATGTTATTTTCTTGACCTTAGGTTTGAAATGTAAGCTTCCATACTGAAACTAGGATGCATGTGATGTGTGCATAATTGCCTCTTCTCCTTGGCTTTCATATTGGCATCAAATGATCCTCTGAGTAAAGCTGACCATGAGCACCTCCTAATTTTTTTTCATTCGGAGAATGTTAATTAACATCACAATGAAATGGCAATTAAGGCCTTTGTTTCATGGAGTTCACAGCTACCTGACTGCTTAATGCCTGAAAACAGATCATTTTGCACTCTGATAATGTGTAATTGTTATTGTTGTTGTTGTTTCCTTTCCTATTCCAACAATAAGAATGGTCAGTTTCTGATGCGTGGTAACCACGGGTACCTTAACAAGTAGAAAGGTAGGGCAGAACCCAAAAGATTTTAACTGAGCCACACCTAAGGAATTGCAGAAAGCCATTAATAAAGTAAGTGCATTACTTGAACACTTAAGAATTCATTTGATCAGACTTGAGAGTCTCCTCTCAGGTAGTATTCAATAGAGGCCTAATTTTGAAAGGGGCGCTCTAGTACATGGGACTACCACACATAAAAGCATCAAATTAAGGAGGTCAGAGAATCCATGTGCCTTCGTCACAAGTATTTTGGATTCACAATCTAACAGTGTGCAGGGGTCAGCACGAATATTTGACCTCCAATTTAAATGTCATTCTACTACGCCCTCAAGAACAATGACAACAATAACTTTTCAACCTCGTTTGTATCCGTATTAATTTTTCTAAAAGGAAACCTGTAAGAGAAAAAAAAGAGACTTTAAAACTTCAGAAAAATCTTTCTCTTTACTATGTATTAATAAAAGAAAATATGCATTTCCTTTATTCATCTAGCAAAAAAAGCTATCCACAAAAAAATGTGTAGCAGGGAGCCTTGACATGAGAGGGAGTGAGGAAAAAAAATGGTCAAGAGAGCAGGCAAATATGTATTTGAGTATTCTGAATGCAAATTTAGAAGAAGTAGGTCATACCATTTCTCCTGACCATTTAACAATAGTCCTTTCTTCTAATTTGTTTTCTTTAATTTGCTTTCTTTCTCCCTTTCTTTCTTTTTCTTTTATTTTGCATAAATGTACTCCTGGCTAGCAGACAGAGTTTTTTCACCCCTCAAAGCAAATACTTAATTTAACTTTATTTTTGTTTGAATGTCTGATGAGGCATTTTTAAAAACTTATCATAGAATGTGAACTTAGTGGGAATTTAGGAATTTGCTATACTTTTTTTTTCAAGAATGAGAGGGTGGATGAGTAGATGACTGAGTTCTGTTCTGAGTGAATTTACATCTATTTGCACAATGCATTGCTATCCTAGTAAATTTTCAAATAGTTGTTTGCCTTAATTCCTATAATTTTATCTAATGAGATTTTTGCTATATCTTCTTGTATTGTCAACTTGCAGTTGCTACGTTGCAAGAATGCAATATCTAAGAATTAATTCAATATCAGCTTAATTTGCATGGCCCAAAACTACACTGTAAATCACATTTTCTCCCGTCACAAAAGGAAATGATTTTTTAAAAGGATAGACTCCTATAATCCAGTCCAAATTTTTCAAAACACTGTTACATGATCTAAATAGGCATATTAAGTGAAGATTCATTTTTAATTAACTACTTCAGACACATTTAACGTATCATTCGCTAATCAGTTGAGCATTTTCATGTCCCATAGTGATTTATCAGAAGATGCATCACTAATTAGTCAAGTGTAGAAAATATATTTTTTTCATGTAGGGAACATAAAATTAATTATTTCAAAATGTAATGATTAGAGCAGAGAAACTTAGAAATCATTTACTTGATTTGAGATCACTGATAAGATAGATCTCGGTTATGATTTTTACTCAAAGCAGCTGCCTTACAAAGAGTTATAAAAATTAACATTGTTTATGCTCTTGGGTATATTGCCATAGTTGTTTTCAACTCCACATTTCTTCAGAGCGCAGCACGGCTCTTGGTACCGTCCAATGAAGCCTTCACCTCCTAGCCATCCGGGTGAGCCTGGCTCAGTTGGAGGGATGAGGAGGGAAGGGAGCCACTTCTCGTGGAAGTACTCCGCTCTGTGCTGTGGGGCCGCGGGCTCAGGCGGACACAGCTCAGGCAGGACACAGCGTCCCCTGATGACTCGGCTATGCTGAGAAAAGCTCTTCTAGAAAACCCTGTGAACAGCCAGCTGCCATCAGTCACTGTCATTTCTCTCTCTTGTCTCCTGATGAAGCTGACTACTGTCATTGCTCGTTATTGTCCAAACCATACATTCACTCTTGTACTGTCAAGCAGATATGACAGGCACACATTTTCCATAGAAGAAGGATACAGAGTCACCTTTTAATTTGCAGTTTGTGTTCACAGATGACTTTGGAGTTACATTAGCTATTCTCTTGCCTCTAGCATCCATCAGGACTAGCAACAACCCTACTTTAAATTTCAGTGATAAAACAGCTACTTCCAGCTTATTATAGAAGGGATACATGAGAGAAAAGAGCCTCTTCCAGACAATTTGTTAACAATATAATCCCTATCATTTTCAACGGCAGAATTTCTTTCTCTATGTCATAAAAACTTCCAAAATGTAGTGTTACAAAATAAAAAGGGAGATTCCCCTTTTGTTCCCATAGCTGTTGGCATGAAAAGAAAATCTCAATAAAATATAAATTTGAAAGCTATGTTATTCCTCCAAGAAAAGTACATTTATTTGGTAGATATTAGTGAAAACCTATTAAAATATACATATGTTTTAAACAAGATCACAGAAGGGTGCTTGCTATTAAGAGATAATGAATAATATGTATTTTTCCAGTTGTGAGGGAGGGAAAAAGGAAAAGAATATCAAATGTGAAAGGAACTCAAATATAGTCAAGTAAAGAATAAAATAAATTGCAGGGACGTCTGTTAGGAACCATTCACTTGAATTCAGATTAGATGACAGTGTAAAATCCATGTGATGATATCACTATAGGGACCAGCATTTTCCCAACGCTCCTCACGTGTCACAGTGAATTGTTTCCAGGGAAACTTGGGGTGGAGGCTTTTGTGAGTTTCTACTTGAAAGGGTGCCTGCCCTCTGTGAGTGTGCAGACCATCATCAGCCTGCCTCTGCTGTGGACTCCACTGTTAGTATTCCAGGTTCTGAATGTAAGTGAGGTATCAGCAATAGCTTTGTTTATCTAAGTGTAGCCTAAAGTCAACCTCCTATCCCATGCCTAAAGGACTCTAACGTCCTTAGGTTATTAAACCGCAGAAGTGGAACAGGTGGCATTGTTTGGCAGATGTGTTGAATTATGCCCTAGCAACAGAGCCTATGAAGTCACATCACCCTCTTTCAGTACATGTGGAGGGGACCTTTGAAGACCAAGCAGGATATGGGAACAGCTTCTTAAAACCAAGTCTGAAAAAGGTCAAGTTTGAAGTTGGTTCTCAAATTGTAGTTAGTCCTTGATTTCTATGGAAGAAAGCAAGGAAAGGGAGGGAGAGAGGGAAGGAAGAAGGGGGGGAGAGGTGGGGGAGGAGAGAAGTCGTGTTAATGAAAAGGAGCATTAGTCTGTGCCTCCCAGAGCAAGGATAATCCAAACGTTGCTGGTATTTTAAGGAGCCACATTACCCTCCTAATGCTATTTACTCAACCTAATGTTCAAATTCGTTTTCATTCTCTTGACACATGCCAAATACTGGCAAAGGAAGTGATCCCACTGTCCTGAATTCAGGAATGACTCTCATACTTTTGTTCTGGGCTGTTTTCTCCCCTGATAATGTCAACAGCAGAGTTTTCTTTTTCTTTAATTCACTGATTCTAATTGTTTGTACAGAGCAAATGGAGTTGCAAAGAGCATTTGCTTTTGCATGTTCAACCCTGTGGAAGAACAGACTGGGACAGTGCAAGGATGACTATATGGTGTTGCTTGGGAAGCGCCCACAAGTTCTTTGAAACAGAATTTGGAACAGCTGGACCACTGCAGTGTTTTATTTTAAAATAGACAACATATGTAATGCATATGGTCCTAGACATGTATGGAGACACAGGCAGACAATCTGAATGGTATCCAAAGACACCTGCACCTAGAATTCTGTTTCCTCCTATAAGATTTTTTTGCTCTAAGAGCACATGTTCCCACTTTCGGATTTGCAAGACACCATCTGAATCCCCATGTGTGTGGCTCCTTAATAGAGCCAGTGGGAAGTTATCTGGGATGGAGGTGTTACAGTCAGCCGGTTAATAACCCCCTCCTATAGATCTGCTCCTGCAGGAACTAACAGGGCATGATGTGCATCAGAAAGTGCCCTGAAGAACCATGTCGTCTACCCAGGGACTCAGTTGTGCGCCTATGTCCTAACCACAGAAAACTGGAATGGAACCCAGAAAAACAGAGAGGGGACATAGGAATTGGTTCCACAAGGGCAGAGCAGAACTGTAAAGCACAGAGATGGGGGAAGACTGCCAGCTCCCTAGAAATGAGGTGGTTTAAGAAGCAAGGAAAAGGGGAACCTTACGCAGAGACATCCTTGGCTTACAATTTAAACTGGCTTCGCAAGCACAGAGGAGCTTGTCTGCTTTTGCCCAGCTAACATGTATTGAGCACTCACTGTGTGCTAGGTGCCTTCCAGGCGCTTCTCATCAGATCCCATCAGCAACTCTCTCAAAATAATCTTTGATACTGTTGTCCTCAGCTTATAATTGAGGACAAGGAGGCTCCAAAGCGATAAACACCCACCTTCTGCCACATACCGACCTAGTAGTGGCAGCTCTAGCCTCGAATCCAATCTTTTTGACCCCCTGAAGCCTTCCCACTTAACTACCTGATCTCCTAGCTCCTGTAAAATACTAATTTAGTGTAACAATAGCCTATAAAATCAAGAAGTAGAAAACACTTATTAACAGACTGAATTTATTTATTCGGATGAAATTCCCTACTGTAACAAATAGGTGTCAAGTGCCTACTATGAGCCAAGTACTGTTCTAGGTACTGGAAATAAAACAGAGAATAAAATTCCCAAAATCCTTGCTTAAAAACTAGATTCTTTTCATCAACACCCTGAAATAGCCTTTCCAGCCTACCCCAGCAATTAATAAAAAATGACCCTAATTCTTAGTAAATGGTAATTTTGTATGAGTAAAAGTCCAGAGGATGCTTTTTTAATTGCTGGGGATTCCCGCAAATTAAGCTCCATCCCATACCTATAAGTGCTCAAGGGATCTTACGAAACATGGGAATATAGTCAAGACAGCAGAAAGGAAACTCAGCTCATCCTGCACAAAAGGAAACTGAGTCTCAGAGAGAGAGAAACGGCTATTTAAAGAGCACTGAGCAACTGTTTAAAAACAGCGATTTTCAGAAGTTCTTTTTCTCCATAGCTCAAACTAGGAGCCAGACCTCCTGAATTCAGTCCCAGGCTCATTTGCCAGGTGGACCAGGAGAAAGGGGAAAGAGGAGAAGAAAGGACAAGGACATTTAGTTTCCATAGTTGTTGTCTGAAAAAAGAAAACCAGCTGATCTGATTTTTTGGTAAGCCTGTTTTAAAGTGTCAGTAAAAGGAAGGTGGTTCTTTAGACTCCCTAGCCAGCAATTACTGCAGTTGGGTTGCATTTGCTGGCCCGTGTAAGGGGTGGGGAGGGGTCTGTCTCTGGGTCTCCCTAGAGGAGCCAAGTTGCCTTTTCAGACCTGTGTTTAAGAGGCCGGCAGGCAAAACAGGTCATCGGCACAGTTTTCAAGAGGCTCAGCAAATACAGCGTAAGATGTCTGAAACATGTGCCATATTTCTGACAGCTACCAAAAAGCCCCTAAGTGACCGGGTGTACCATCATAATTAAAGAGCAATAAACTATCTTCTCCAAACTGGCAAAGTAAGACCCAGGCCGATTTATCAGCTTGCAGCCTCTTCTGCGAAATCTGAGAGCAAGAAGCTAATGCTCGCCAAACTGCCTAATCTGTTAAAATTGGGAGGCAGGGGGTGGATGAGGCTTTTCGTGAGGCTGTCACAGGATGAGCAATTCATGCATACCCCACGCTTGGTTCTTCCTGAATCAACTTGACCTGGGACAGACAGGATGAAGGGGAAAGGGTAGAACCTGCCCCAGGAGATGAAGGATCACCTTGCTGGAGAGAGAGTCCTTATTCCAGGGGAGACTTCAGTTGGAAGATGTTCAGACCTTTGCCTTGGGCCACAGGTAGCACCCCTTGCCCTAGAAGCAGCTAGCTTTCCCAAAGCCTCTCCTTCCTGACCACTGTAAGTCAAAGGAAAAAGGTAGTTTGGAGATCAAAAAGGCAAAAGAAAGCCGTTTTTCCAGGTGAAGCTTCCAGGCTTAACTGGAAAGCACTTTCCCGAGACAGCTATCACAGAAAAAGAGGAATCTTGCAGACTCTGTAATGTAATTCCTAAATATGTGATATCCCTTCCAAAAAAGCTGGTGCTTTATCATTTTAATGGAGCAATTTGGCTGTTAAAATACTTATTCTTTGATTTGCCTTCTGGAAACCGTTGCTTTTGTGTATCTTGGGCATAAACAACACATCTTGTTCAAATACTGACCACTTGCTGCTTCTCCAAAAGATGACAGAAGATTTCAAAAATCCAACAATAAGTTTATACATCTGCTTCACCATGCATTTAAATTTAAAAGATACTGAAATCAATAAGAAGAGAATTCATCATCTTGAAGTCACACGGCTGCCATAACCCAAGCTTACAGGCATACCCCAAGCATAACAGAAAAAAAAAAAAAAACTGCCTGGGATGGAGGCCACGTATGAAAATATTATTCAAACACCCTCCCGAGTCAAATTGATTTTCCCCTTGCCCTGATAGTATTGCTGGTTCCTGGAAAGTCCCCATATTCCAATAAAATGTTACATTCAAGGAGTTGGATAAAATCTTGCTCAATTTGATGTAAGATTCTGTTTTTTTGTAGTCTGCATATGAGGAGAGAGTAAAACTGAGGTGGAATGAGCCGATTCCTTTAACATAAAAGACCTTCATTCCTACCTCTTTAGTGTTTGTCTGGTGGCACTCGAGTTGATTTATCTGAGTTACGTTGCCAGTTGAGGATAGTATATTTTAGCTACACATGTTGAGATTAATTAGTTAGCCCTTAGGAGGTTTGCCTACTGCCTTCACCCTGGAAGGAAAAGTGTGAATACATTGAGACTATTAATTCACAATAAATGACAGATCATAGCCCTTGCTGAGTCAATTTCTGTTTGTCTCTTTCATACACTTTGCTAACCGAGTAAGCACACTAGAAGGCAATGTCCTTGGCTATCACAAACTAAATTCCCATTTAACATAATCTCCAGGTTTCAGTGAAAATCTTTTTTTTTCTTTAATTTTTAATTTTGCAAGGTGGGGATTCAAACCTTTTGTGAAACCAAATTAGTGATGGGAATTTGGAAGGGGAGGGACACAAATATTGTCACTGTGCTGAAAATCAGCAGAACCCTTTCTCCAGATGACCCCAATAATTGTAGCGAAATTGCTCTAGACATAACCACTGGAATGGCAGAATCTATTAAAAACCTACAAAGCTCACTAGGCTATTATAAGCAAAGATCCGATCTGCTTTCAGTGTTTGGTGAAATGCAGGCGAAGTTATGGTCTTGTGCTTAGTTTTTAAAGAACAAGATGAATGCACTGGAATTGTGATCATTTGAGAAACACATTGATGCCAATATACGTTTGCCTAAATGCAGTAAACTCACCAGTAAGTGATGCAAGTTGACAATGGGAGGTAAAAAGAATATCTTGGGGATGTTGGTGGGCGGTAACGGGAAGCAGCTAATGTTCATAATGCCTAGTGGATTCCTGTGCATCTGAAACGTCAAAGGAAATGTGATGTGTTTCTCTAAATTGTGTCTCTCTCTACATGTATAAATGAACAGATGCAGACAGAGCTCAAAAGCATGGCATGGATGAATTTATCTCTTCCAACCCCTGTAACTTTGACCACGCTTCCCTTTTTGAGATGGTGCAGCGCCTTACTTTGGATCACAGACTTAATGATTCCTATTCTTGCCTGGCAAGTATATTCTTTGGTCTACAGCAATTTAAACATGACATTTTAAAAAATGAAATATTTATCTACCTTTATGTCAGAAGTTCTTTTCTCCCTTACAGAATTCCTTTAACAATTATAAATGTGTTTCTCAGTTTCCTGGGTCGAGATAGTTTTACTCCCCAAAGCAACAAGACTGAGAAGAAGTTCTCAGAAGAGACACATCCAATTCCCAAGCCTGCCCGGCTTAGCTTCCCCCTTTTCAGCTGCTATATGAGAAATATTCCCAAGAGGGTAATCGAGTTTGGCACCTGCTTGTGGAGAACTTGTAAAAACTGCCTCCTTGTCTCAGAGTTTAAAATGCCCCTCCCTCCCAGCTCCAGACCTGGTGCTCCTCTCTGGGAAAAGAATGTATTTTTTTTTTTTGCATGTCTTTTTAAAAGATCGAAACGATACGCAAATAAACTCCCCTTCACTGTCTATAAGTTTAGTCGATTCAGGTTGGTTAGTTGGTGGATTTTTTCTTTCTTTCTTCCTAGTATTCAGAGCCTTTTTCACTCTTTAAGTGAATATTTTACAGTACATGAGACATTTGGAAATTCAGCTATCCAGCAGGAGTATCAATATTTCTTAAATCCTATTTTTAAACCTAGATTTAAATTAGTAAAATTCACAGAACTGCTATTATGTCTTTATTGGATATCTGAAGATACATGTTTGGCTTTAGACTATCAAATTCAAAATCTTACAGATGCCTTGGTTTCTTTCTGTCTGCAAACCGTAAATTATTACTTCATTTCTTAAAGGTAAATGTTGTTAATAATACTTTATGTGGGTAAAAGATGAGGGGAAATGATAAAATGACTTTATAAAATCCTTGCCCCTGAAACACCGAAAGCAATATACATGTGTAGTATTAATATTAACATATTGTTGATATTAATAGTTATATAACGAGTCCTTCTTTACTAAATTACATGATTATATCCTAACTATTCTGATTTATTTTATGTAAATTCATTAATTTATTTTTTAGTACCAAAAGCTAAAAGGTAAAAAAATAGTAGAGAAAATAATCTTCAAAATAGAAACAGGACTCTGTGGAATAATTTATTAATCTTCCTCTCATAAGTGATACATTAATTATCTCAGGTTTAGAATCCCTTCATCAGAAAATTCTGAACTTTGCCAAATTGGAAGGGAACATATCATTTTGATTAAAAATTTTTTAAAAAGCTTACCTTGCATTGCAAGGCAATTTCCTCAAATGTTTTTCCTACCATTATGGAATTATTCATGTGAATTATAAATTGCATTTATGAAATGTGTAAGAATATGGATGTCTCTGAACTTAAATCATGCTCTTTTAGGTAGAATCCCTCTTCTCTTGAGGAATTTTTAAAGCATATATTAGTTTCAAGACTTTTTCAACACCACAGTTTTTAAAAACAATTTTCTTGTGTTTTGAAATTTATGACACAGACAAATGAGTAAATGCCCTCCTAAAAATTTTGAAACAGAAATGAAATTCCGAAGCTTATTTCCCACTAATCATTATAGGCTTACAAATATGCTCCGCAATCAAAAATTAATTGCAAATGGGAAAATAGCTTCCTGTCTGTATTTGAATACCTGAAGCTATTAATGATTCTAGAATTGCAGAAAATGAAAAAGAACCTCATCTCTTGTCTCTATATATTCCATTTTCTCATTATTACAGTCTTTTTTTCAGTTGGTTTTGGAGACCGACCAGCAGGGATACATAAATTTTTCTGTGTCTTCGACTCAGTTCCTAATTGATATTTCTTCAACTCTTTTCAAAGCAGCTATTTTGGCATCTACAAAAGACTTGGTGTCATCTGAGTCGTAGAAAATATATTTTAATCTTTCACAGCAGTGTTGTTTCTAAGATTTAGCATTTGGGGTAGCAGATGGAGTGGCAAAGAAGTTGCCTATAGGGGCAGCCCACTGCCTCGACTACTCTCCCGCCCTCTGCAGTAACTTATAATTTGAAATAGGAAAGATGCCGTCTTTCGTTGGATGCAGCGCTGAGCTGCATGTTGTCAGTGGAAGATTCCCCGGACCCCTAATAGAAGATTGGAAGGTTGCAGAGGCCTCCCTTGCTGCACTTCCGTGGTCTCCCCCTGGTCCCTACTCCCTTTCTCCTTTTGTTCTCTCTCTCCCAGGATGGAATGATGTCTAAAATAGTACTCATAGAAGACCCTCAAAGTAAAATGAAGTTTAGATTTAAAGCAGCCCTACATTCTAAACTTACACCATACAACCTAAATTAGTTTATTTCTTGCTTCAGATGAACTGGAACGAGAAACTATGATTTGATTTCAGGCTGTGCCCAAGGATGACCCTTCTCAAAGTGCAGGACAGAGGAGGCAAATTGTGTCCCATCTTGCCACTGAACCTGGGTTTTCTTTCATAGCAGAGTTTGGGCTGACCTCATAGCAGGCAAATACATAATAAAATAAATAAAATTACCGAGAGGGGGGAAAAAGAAACAAAGCTGTGGATGAGGGTATAAGAAGCTCCTCTCAGTTCAGTTAAATCATATCTGATCAACTGGAAAACTTGGTCTTGCTATTCTCTTTGGAGAGTTACGTATATGTGCTGCCGAAGCAAGCACTGGAGAGTTATGTTATTACCTTCATTTTAAAATTTAAAAAATATTTGTGAAGTGTCTGAACTTACAAGTCCCTAGCAACTCTAAAATTTCTTCATGCTCCAGAGTAGGGAAGCAGAAGACTTGAGATAAAACAGAGCTTGATTTGAGTCCTACCTGTTTTGTGTTACCTGTGTGAGTCTCTGAACTCAGATTTCTATTTCCGCTTCTGTAAAATGAAGATAAGCATTCCCCGTCTGCCTCTAGAGCTCTCTGTGTTCCCTGAACCCGGTTTTCCTGTCCACATACCAGGATAACAGTGTAAAAGGACTAAGCCAGATAGCGCACACTAAGCTCGGCACAGTGACTAGCACTAGTGACAACTGGCTGCCTCTCAGGCCCTTCTGCACCACACCCAACTCCCACAGCTCTCCAGAAAGTAACCTGTACTTAAAACACTTCTCCTTTCTCCCCACACAGGGCTGGTTCAGTCCTGGCCAGGTGTTTGTATTAGACGAATACTGTGCCCGCAACGGAGTGCGGGGCTGTCACCGACACCTCTGCTACCTCAGAGACCTGCTGGAACGGGCAGAGAACGGCGCCATGATTGACCCTACCCTTCTCCACTACAGCTTTGCCTTCTGCGCATCCCACGTCCACGGTAACAGGTGAGCAGGCGTGTGCCGGTCCACCGGAAAGGCCTCAGAGAGGCAGCTGGCGGGGCTTTCAGGGTCCCCTCTCACAGTCCACCTCCATTCCCTCAGCAGTGCTGCACACGCACACCCAGCACGTACCCCGGATACACATGCATACATGTATATGTGATAGGAGGGGTGGGGGAGAACACAGAGATCTCAGTGTCTTCTGTTCAACATGCTATGGAGAGGGGCTGCGGATTGAGCTCACTGGTTCCGCCGCCTGCCTTGTAAGCGCAAGGACCCAAGTTCGATGCCCGGTACCAAAAAAAAGATACTATGGAGAAATGGCAAACAGAACTTCTAGTGTGGCCTCTGACACTAGACCAAGATGGGTTCAAATCAAGGCTCCACTACTTACTAGCAATAAACCTGTTTGACTCTCTAGGTGCCACAGGGTTCTCGTCTGTAAAATGGAAAACAGTCTCCTCGTGGCTTTGTAGAGAGGATGCAAATAGATACAAAGAGCTCAGGAAACTGCCTGGAATGTGGCAAGAGCTTAATAAACATGTGCCGTTGTTATCACCTTTCATCCTATGAGGGTTCCATGTTGACTTACTTGAGTCAGATTCTGGTACACATTCAGGATATATGGCAAGTAAAGAGCAGATGCCAGACAAGAGCAGAATCATGTTAATATCAGCACTGTAAAGAAAAGGAATAGAACTCCATGGTGGAATTTAATGAGGAACATGACTCAGATGGAGTGGCAGCATGGCAGGGGACCTCCCCGAGGAAATGATGCCGGAGCTGAAAACCGATGCATGTGTAGGAGTTGAGTGGTTCCAGGCAAAAGGAACAGCATGTACAACTGTCCTGCGGAAGGAAGATGCCAAGCACATTTTGAGAGCTGAACAAGTTAGGTGAAGCTGGAAGACAAAGATGACGACAGCACTTGTAATGGAACCAGCGAGGTGGGAAGAACTTCAGAAATCCTGGTCTAAGCAGACCCCTCGTTTTACAGATTTTACACAGAAGGCCAGAACACCAAGCCTCCTGATTCTGTTCCAAATGCTCTTTCTTTAGACCTTGCCCAATTCCTGGAGGGAAAGATCCATTTTCTGAATAATGCAGAGCAGCAAATAATTTCAGAGCATTGCCATTTGGCTCTGGAGACACGGAATACATTTCCACACTGCCACAGCCATTTTACCATCCCAGGGTATGCAGCCTCATATTAGTACAGAGATGATCTTATCGTCCTCCTGAGCACCCCAACCCACAACCAGGAAGGCACGTGCTGCAGGGAGCTAGGTGGCTTCGGAAAGCCAGCCTCTGGTGGAAATGTTGTTGCTCTAGGGCAGTGATGGCAAATCCTTTAGCGTTCTCAGGGTTAACGAACAGCCAGCCACAGCACAAGTGCCCTCGGTTCACCACCACTGCTCCAGGGAAAGCCAGTGGGGGAGAGTCCCAAATCAACTACCTGTTTTTAAAATCAGTGCTTTGTCAGTCCTCCTTATCTTTGCAAGCCATGCAGCTCTGAAATACTGTATCTGTGGGATTTGTCCTGTGCTTTTCCTCTCTCCAGTGTTGGTAGATTTTTTTATGAAATGCAACTTCAGCATTTAGAACTAGATAACAATAGCATTGAAGGTTTGAATATTTAACAGGCAACAAGGTTATCTTCACGTCCCATTGTTATGAGGCTCAGTAGTCCTGCACCTGACCTTTTATTTGCATAAATGATGCTTCTGAAAACTTTGATACCTGGGATATATCTGTGCATAATTCTGCTTTTATAAATATGTACACTTTGATGACTATCTGTTACAGCCTCTTGGACTGAATTCTTTAAAGAGAGAGAGAGAAGTTGCATTATATTCTCTGGGTTGTCACACTGTATTCTACATATGTTACTGAATAAGAAAGTGTTATAAAATAATGAAGTGTTTTTGTAAACTCCCTGGTAAACATCATCATGAATTATGATACACATTGTCTGGATTTCATATTGTAAGACTGCCACTTGATTCACAGTTAGGTTTATACATCTTGTCATGGAAACAGTTTTGGATTTCTTATTTTCTTTTCAGTTCTGATTTTCCTTATGCAAGTTTGCATCTTTTTTGCTTATTATTTTAGTTTGAATGCATTTGCTTTTGCTTTGTGATGCATCCTTCTTTTTCTTTCTTTTGTCTGTGCATGTCTGTGTGCTCTTGATTCTCTGTGCATGCCTCGTGCAACCACCCCTCTCAAAAGTCAACAGATGCATGTGTACCTTAGTGGGCTGCCTCCAAATACAGACTCTGAGGGGAGCAAAACTCCCTCCCCATCTGAATCAGAAACTAAAAAAGATACCAAAAGAGAATCCAAAAAAAGAAAGGAATTCAAAATCCACTCCAGTCAAGAGCCCAAAAGGTAAGAAGTTATATGTGTATTGCTTGGTGGGTTTTTGTTTGTTTGTTTGTTTTGTTTTTAGGGTTGGTTTTTTTTGTTTGTTTGTTTTTTTGCAATTTCTTTGACCTTTCCCCATCCCTCCATCCAGGCAACCGTTTCTACCTTTGCACAGTTCAAGCTTTGAGTATTTTTGTTTTTTTAAAGGTTTTCAAAGGTAAAAAATTTGTTTAAAAGATCTAGCAATGGGCAAGAATGTGTATTTGATTCAGGTGCTTGGTGATTTTTAAAACATATTCATATTGAGCAATATGTAAACAGAATTATGAATCAGATTGCTTTTAAGGTGGCATCTAGTTATGAACCTAGTACCTTACCAAGTCACTCATAATAAGCAATATAAGTAATACATGCTTGTAATTTTGAAATTATGGGCCAGACGTGGTGGCACACACCTGTAATCCCAGCACTCAGGAAGCTGAGGCAGGAGGATCACTGTGAGTTCAAGACCAGCCTGGGCTACATAGTGCGTTCCAGGTCAGTCTCAACAACATAGTGAGACCCTGTCTCAACAAATCAAAAAACGAACAAACAAAAAAAGAAATTATGTTCTAAGGAATAAATAAAATGGGTTGACATCAAACAAGCCTGTACATTTATAGTAGTAGCTCTATCATTTTCATCAAACCATTCTCAGTTCCACAGTCATCTCATAAAAAGAAATTCACGAAAAAATGACATCATAATGACACAAAATAAAACAACATTTATTAATGGTTTCTAGTAGAATCACTTACATGATGAAGTTATCTTTAAAGTACTTGTAGGTTCTAAGATTTGACTTATCTTGCCTTATTTCTTACGTCTCTTAGGGATACTATGTTTTTTAACTACTTTTCCCTTTTAGACAACATTTACTCAGTATTTCCAGGGTTACCCTTATTGGCCTTCTTCATTTTCTCTACCCTCGATCCAATAACAGTGACACCTTAACATTTTGCTGTAGTTTTGAAACTGATGATTCTAATTCTGGCATTTTCAAGCTACCAAAAATTTGCCAACACATATGATTTATTCTTCAGTATGAATTGCTTCATTATATATTTCTAAGCCCCAAAATGTGTGCAGTTCACATGCAGATAGACCAAATGAAAATGCAAACTTTTGCTTTCTAGAGAATGCAGCAAGCTGCCAGTCAGTAAGTATATGCACACCCAGTAGACCTGACAAGTCTCTGAAGAGGAAGTTGCCCTGGCTGCTGTCCGAGGTGCTGCTTTTGGAGAGCAAAGAGCAAATGGTCACTGTGAGAAAGCAGCATTTGCTCCAGCCTGACCTAGTTTCTGTGCCATGAAACCTATCCAAAAGGATCCTCACTGGTTCTCTGAGAAGAGTAGGTGTTTGAGGGTCTGTGTTTACACTGTATTTCATAATGAAGATGAAATCATAATATTAAGTATCCACTGTGTAGTGGTGTTCTACAGTTTACAGAGTGATTTCAAAAGTCTTCTCATTTGCTGTAAAATTCTCAGGGTAGCCATTTTTGCATCTATTTGACATATGACACTGAATATCCATAAATTTAAGTGGCAAACCTACATGTCCTAAATCCAAAGCTTTTCCTCATTGCACTAAATCTACTTCTGCCTGGATTCTAAAACTCTGAGTGTTAGAAATTGTTCTTTATAAATCTAGGAATACTATACTTCATTTTTGTGCCTCGATTTTCTCACTTGTAAAATGAGTGGACAGAATCATAGCATCTGTAGGATTCATTTAAAATCTAAAATTGTCTTCTGTGGGTTAATACAAGAAATGAAACAGCTTATAGCCAGGTTTCATTGTCTAAGGTTCAATTAAAATAAGGATAATCGTTACCATTTGACAAATAATTGCTCAGTGCCAACAATTGTGTGGAGTGCTTTTGACACATGTTGTCTAATTTTATCTATGTCACACCCCTGTGAAATAAGTATTGTTATTACCCTCCTCCAGTACATGTGACCTTGAGGCTCAAATTCACATACTTCCCTGAAGCTCTGTAACGGCTGGTGGTCTGATCCTGATGGGAGTATGGGTATTCTGATGGCAGAGCTTGTACTACATTACTTTCTTTTCAAGACTGGCATTTTACATGGCATGACATGACATTTGATACTTGTTTCAGCATTCCCAAGTGAGATGCTACAACAGTCATCTGTATTAAGGAGTTGTCCATTTGAGGCCTAAGGGTGCCTAATATCAGTATGACCCACCTATGTAATTTTAGCCTTGTGGAGAAAGTAGACTCTCTTGGACTTTTAGATCACCCAGGGGAGAGTTTCATTTGAATACTAATTAACAGTCTTTGGCATTGTGGAAATCATATTCCTAACCTCTTTCACCTGCACAACCAGAATCTGAATGTGGAGATGTTATCCATTCCTGCCCCAGATTTAAAGGAAATTCATGGGCTTGGGAGCCCATGCCTAGCATGTCTGAGACCCTAAGCATGATCTCCAGTACTACAGAAGAAGAAAACAAGGAATTCATGACTGGTAAACAGATTGCTCCTTCAACTGAATTTAAGTGAACAATGAGTCTCATTCCCATTGTTATCTCAAAACCAGCTTCAGATTTGGTTAAAAGATTTTTAAATATATTATTAATTGAGCAGCCTCTGGCAGCTGGAAATTATTAGTAAGTGCTCATGTGTCAGAGACTGAGTTCTCCTACCTGCTCTAGAAATCTGTGCCACATCTGTATGAGGGTGTACCTATGTGGATGAGCACTGTTCTGATCAAGAGTAGACACATCTGCTGGTCAGGATGGTGTTTGTTGTTCCTCATCCCAAGCACTGTGTAACATGAGCACATCTACATCTTTTTCAGCTTTTAGAATAGTGCTTCTTAACTGGAGGGTGAGTCGTCCCCCTTTGGCAATGTCTAGGGACATTTTTATTTTCATACCTGTGCTATTGTCATCAAGTAGGTCCAAGCCACAGGGATATAGTCAGCAATGCAAGGGCAATCCTCATGCTAACAGAGCCTATAATGCCAATTATGCCAAGGTCAAGAAGCCCCATTTTAAATCAAACTCATAAGTGATGGGCCAAATTGTTTTCTTTTTACTTAGGTTTTTTGGTTTTTTTACACACTTACTCTGTGCTTAAAGGTATAGCAGGTGCCCCTGTTGACGTTCCGTTTGTACAGTTGAGTTTGTTAAAATACAAAATGTTGAATCCCAGCCTCAAATAATTTGATTCAGTAAGTCTTAGATGGAGCCAGGATTCTATACTTTTAATACTGATCCCTACTCCAGTATTCCAAAGGATTTGGTATTCAGATCACACTTGTTTAAGGCCATGGTTATCAGACTTGGATGCACATTTGAATCATGTGCAGGAGGGGAGAAAATGCTGATCCCCAAGCCTGGCCTGCAGAGTTTGTAATGTAATACACCTGGATGTGACCTAAGCCTCATAAATTAAAAACCTCAAGTGGTTCTAATACAGAGCAAAGCTTAAGATCCATTGGCTGACAGAACATTAGTTTGGGCCAGCTTTTAAAAATTAAACCCACTTTCTCAAAGAAGAGAAGAAAAAGGAAATATGAGCATGTTCAGCTGGTTGCATTTGGCGATCTTAAAATCCACAGATGTAAATTGCTATATCTTCTCATGTTTAAATCAGCTCCTAAGGTTGCAGTACTTAATTTTCACCATAATATTTTTAGTATTCTTTCTAGATGACATTTAGATTAGCATCGCTTTGGTCACTGTCCCATAGTGACAAGGCAATCAAACAGCTCTGATGATTGCAAGTTGCGTCGATGTTCCTTGGATCCCTTTATTATTGGGATTGGAAATTTTTCTCATTTACATTATTATTTAACATTTCGTGAATGCCAGTGCTGCTCTTCACATATGGCCTGTGTAGAAAGTACATTGTATCAGCAATTAACAAATCCATAATGCCAACCGCCCCAATCCAAAGAACTCTGCATAGATTAATGAGTCTACAAGCAGATGTAAGAGGGCATGAATTCTAAAAAGAATCTCTGAAAATGTGTCCAAAGATGTGTTTGGAACCAAGGTGCTAGCCATGTTCAGAGACCATGTGAATCTAGCAGGCTAGCCCCTGAGTAGCTAAACAGTCACACAAGACTTGCTTTTCTCCTGTTACTGAGACAAGGTTCATAAGTTAGTAAGTGGTTCTATCCATCCAGTTGCTCGAGGCAGAAAGAAGCTATCTTTGACACCTCCTCGCCTGTGGCAATGCCACAAGCTTCAGTGCTTCGAACTCTCAAGACAGGGCCTAGTTGTTAGAAGCAGGCCTCTGGAGCCGTAACTCAAAAGGCCTGTCTCCCTTCCCAGCTACTCCTCCATCTTTCTCTCCCCATCCCCACCTCCGCCCCCAGCCCCAGCCCCAGCCCCGTCTCTGTCTCCTTTCTGGCCACCATGACGTAAGCAGCTTCCCACTCGGCAGGCCCTTCTGCCTTACTGTTACCCGCCTTGCAGCCAGCCAGCTGTGGACTAAAACTTCTGAGACTGTGAGCCAAAATAAACCTCCCCTCCTTTAAGCTGTAGGCATCGGATATTGTCTCTGTGATAAGGAAGGTGACTAAGACAGGCTCTCACTCCCAATCCTTGCTACACAATGGTTCTTGTTGTTGTTGTTGTTGTCTGTGGCTGCCTACCTAGCAGTAAATGAACTCCCCCAACATATAAAACACACATGTGCACGTGACAATGACAAGCCTGTTGCTTTTTTTTTGAGACAGGGTCTCACTGTGTAGTTGAGACTGGCCTGGAACTCACTATGTAGCCCAGGCTGGTCTTGAACTTGCAGTGATCCTCCTGCCTCAGCCTCCCAAGTGCTGGGATTACAGGCGTGCACCACCACACCCAAGCCTGTTGCTTTTTAACTCTTCTTCTGTCAAAGAAGAAAACAGCTGTACAGTGGGGCTGGCTGCGTTACACCAACCTCTGAATGAAGTTGGCACTGTGCGTAGCAGGCACATGTGAATGAGTGCAGCAGTGACCCCATG